TCAACATTATAGACGTCAGGTCAACATTATAGACGTCAGGTCAACATTATAGACGTCAGATCAACATTATAGACGTCATGTCAACATTATAGACGTCAGGTCAACATTATAGACGTCAGGTCAACATTATATGAGAAGCGTAAAGGGAAATAACATCAATCAATATTTTGTATCATCAAACTTCAATGCACTATCAATTGATCACACTTTAATTACAACATTACAGTACAATATAAACATCTTAGGGATCTACAGTGCAGTCACTGCGGTGCCCAGAGGTTCTGTAACATAAAACCGCTTCTATACGGCAATTTATAATTGTGAAGAGCGTGGATATGTCTGTAAGAACCCCTGGTAAAGTTCCTCTTGTCTGTAAGAACCACCGGTACATTCCAAATAATCGGCAAGAACCACTGGCACAGTCCATGTTATTTGGCACAGTCCATTGTATTTGGCACAGTCCATGTTATTTGGCACAGTCCATGTTATTTGGCACAGTCTATGTTATTTGGCACAGTCTATGTTGCTCTGTAAAGACCACTGGCACAGTCTATGTTAGATTGTAAGAAACACAGGCAAAGTCCATGTTGGTCTGTAAGAACCACCAGCACAGACCATGTTAAGGTCTGTAAGCAGCAAGGTTATTAGCTCGAACAAAAGCTAAGGTGATGGCCTGTGGCAGCTGCAGCCAGCTCGATGCCCCAGCCGTTTTCGGTTCGACACAAGTTATTGGATAGACCGGCCGTTATCGGTCGTAGCGAGACCGACCGTTATCGGTCGTGGCGAGACCGACCGTTATCGGTCGTGGCAATGTCGTGCAGTCGGGCTAACTTTGCCCCACGACTGCCAACACAAAGTCGTGTACGTAACGAGGTCATGGGAGGCGTATCGCCGGCCAACCATGCCGACAATTCTGGCCAGCCCTTGGCATGGCAAGTGGTTCTTTGCATGTGATGGCAATACCGTAGTCTATATTTATTGTTTTCAATTGTACGAACTTTTTATGCAGTGAAGAAATGAATGAAGAAATGAGCTTGAGCTTCAGGACACTGAACTTATAAACAGGGCCACGGCTCACTGGTTCATGTTGCGATAAGCTTTGGGTTATTATTTCAGGGAGGATATCATTGACGTTTCAAATTTTTCAAGTTCTTGAAATAATAATAAAAAAAGTTTCTAAGGTTTGTAGCCGCTCTGAAATTGCAATGCCCATTGCTAGATGCAACTTTACTACCGTTCGCCTATCCCTCTAGGAACGATTGACCCTCTAGAAAATGGATGAGTAACAGGAAAGGTGGAGGTGAAAAAAAAATCCTCTAGAAAATGGATGAGTTTTGCTCTAGGATGCAAAATGAGTAACACTAGAAACATTGAACTAGCCTAGTGTGAAAGAATGGGAGTTTGAAGGCAACACCAGCCGCCGTATCACGGATACACGAGCCGCCGTATCACGGATACTCCAGCCTCTGTATCACGGATACACCAGCCGCCGTATCACGGATACACCAGCCGCCGTATCACGGATACACCAGCCGCCGTATCACGGATACACCAGCCACCGTATCACGGATACACCAGCCACCGTATCACGGATACACCAGCCGCCGTATCACGGATACACGTCGACATCCGCGAGACGACTTAAAATACTCACAGCACAAGCTACAGGTAGAATACTTAACTAGATCCTTAATGAGCTCCTTAACTAGATCCTTAATTAGCTCCTTGACTAGCTTCTTGACTAGTTCCTTAACTGGATCCTTAAGTAGTTCCTTAATTAGTGTGAGGTCAACTTAGTGCTCATTGTCACCCATACTATATAGTGAGGCACGTAGGGCCAGCTGAATGCCCTTAATGATGAACTAGTGAACTGTCCTTCCTACTACAATGAACTATTGTTATTGTCGCACAGATTCTCCGTCAACAATGAACTATTGTTATTGTCGCACAGATTCTCCGTCAACAATGAACTATTGTTATTGTCGCACAGATCCTCCGTCAACAATGAACTATTGTTATTGTCGCACAGATTCTCCGTCAACAATGAACTATTGTTATTGTCGCACAGATCCTCCAACAACAATGAACTATTGTTATTGTCGCACAGATCCTCCGTCAACAATGAACTATTGTTATTGTCGCACAGATCCTCCAACAACAATGAACTATTGTTATTGTCGAACTATTCACTCGTACAACAATGAACACATCGTAGATCCACGCACATATCGTGTCTTACAATATCTCTAGTCCCCAGAGGCCGACGTACCAACACAACTATTGTATGTTGTACAATTGGAACAATTGGAATCCCTTGCCCACAATTCAACTAATTTGTTGGCATCAGCACGAGAACCAGTAACACTTGAGGTTCACAGTAGTCAGTAGTAATGCACCATAAAAAGTGACAATGACAACTGTGGTTCATCTAAGTTCATGGTATAACAATAACTGAACTTCTCTTCACGCTCAGATATCATGAGAACAATATGGTACACCTATACTGGTAAGTACAAACTTCTATCACATTCTGAACCTACAACAACGATGGTTCACTCATCACAGTAGTACTACAACAATACTTGTGTATAACTGCGGTTCACATAGCACTATGAGAACTAGCATCGCCTGCTATTAAATAAACTCTGTGCACTTTCGTGCATGCTAATCAGAGTGCTATACATGCTACATGCTACCACGTCACATCGCACTTGGGAATGAGGTAGAAGGTTCTACTAGTCCGCTATCTGAATTGAGATGCCCTCTGGGCCGCTGATGGCAGACACTCTGAAACACTGATGTCCGATCCTCTCGACCGCTGATGGCTGTCCTTCTGAGCTGCCGATGGTTGATCCTCTTGGTTGTTGATCGAATACCTCTGGTGTTGCAGATGGCCAGCCCTCTGGGCTGCAGAGAACCGAGGATTCCTATGCTAGACATCGGTTCCTTCCTGGTATCCTTCATCGGGAGAGTCACGCACTGTGATTCTGCTGAGCTTTGTGTGCAGAGTCTGCACTGAGGGTAAGGACAAACGCCCATCCTGAGGGGGGACAAGAGAATGAGCACCACAGAGGGAAGACACCGAGGGCGCCGCGGGCAAAACCGAGCATCCTTCTTGAGAAGGAACGAAGGAGCGACAGAGGGAGGGAGAGAGGGGTGGCGGCGGAGGACAAGGCTCTGGAATGATTATATTGTTCATGAAACTTGGACACAACGGTGCTTCGTCAGGCGTCCGACTCCTGGCGTACATCGGCAAGTCCTGACGCTGGGTCCTTGGTAAGGTCGAGAAGTGGCATGACCAGTTACTTGTATAGTCAGGAGCGAAGTCAGGCAGCAAGGAGTGCCGTGGGGCCCTGCCGATGGGGTACATTACATGTTCCGGGGCGGCAGAGTCCAGCAGCGCCAGGGCCTGGGCAGGCCAGACCCCAGTTAAAGGCCTACCTTGAGGTCGGTGCAAGAGTTCTTCGTGCTCATCTCCGCCGGTGTCGATCAGTGTGGTCACGAGGCTGCCTGTTCTGCTCATGGGCACCCGCATCATGTCGTACTCGAGCTCCTGCTCATCTGCGTCTTCCGACTCGTACTCATCGTTCTGCTCGTCAGGAGTCCTCGCTGCTATCACTGAGCCGCCGTGGTTAGGAAACGAGAGCTGCAAATTCCCATTCACTTTCTCTGCTCTTTTATTGCGGCGTTTAATTAGCATTAGACACACGCTGAGCGTTGCAACGATACCAAGCACAACACATATCGTAATGCCAATTATTTCTCCTTTGGATAAATTTGCAGAGAAGTCAACGGTTAGAGTGAATGAGGCGGTGGCAGCACCCGCCGCGTTGGTCGCAACGCACCGGAGCGTCGAGCCAGAGTCGCTCATGACGGGTCCGGAGAGGAGGAGCAGAGATCCTCTCTCCTCCGAGATCTCATTGATGATGTAAGCCGTTGCGGATCCCACTTTAGATCCGTTCATAATGAGCGCATCTCCGAGGTACCATGACACTGCGGGCATTGGTAGGCCTGCTACAGGACACCAAGCAGTGATGTTGGTACCCGCTTTGCCCTGGGCGTTTCTGCCCACCACTAAAACCTGAGGAGGACAAGCGAACGAATCCAAATCGATGTCACTGAACTTTTTGCCCTCTAGTCGCGCTGGATGCTTGCACACCGGCGACGCAGGATGCGCCACTTCCCTCAGCCATTTATGCAAATCTCTTAACCGGCAGTCGCAAATCCAAGGATTTCCGTGGAGTTCAACGCCCTGCACGTTCCGCAAGCTCATAACCAAATGTTTCTGGAACATCGAGATGCGGTTATGATCGAGACGCAGGTGCTGCAGCTGCTTTAGGTCTTTGAATGCGCCGATATTGATCGTGTCAATCCTGCAATAGGAAAGGTCCAGGCGAGTCAGTTCTGTGGGGAGGCGTGCTGGCACGTGGCTTATGAGATTCTCATGCAAATCGAGTTCCCTGAGAGCGACTGTGTGTCGCAACGCCGCGTCGGGCATGACGCGCAGTTTGTTCTCGCTCAGGTCGAGCGTGACTAAGTTGGTGAGCTGAAAAAACGCCTCGGCGTCGACCTGATGGAGACCGCAGCCCCGCATCAGCAACTTCTGCAGGTGCACAAGACCTGATTCGAAGAACGCACGTTCCGGCAGCCTCTGTAGGATGTTATAGGAGAGGTCCAGGACCTGCGTGTCGAAATCGATGATGTCTGGTAATGCCCGTAGTGTGCCTCTCTGGCACTCCACCGTCTTCTTGCCGTCCTTCCATCGGCACTTGCACTCGTGGGGACACACCTCGGAGCCGCGCACCGACGCCTGCGTCAAGAGCAGCAGGATCAGAAGGATCGCCAAGCTCTCCTTCACCATCACGGCAGTGAAGACTTGAAATACAATACCAGTTCTTCGATCACGTCTTTGGAATCAATAACTCACATTTTGCTTTCATGAAATAAATTAATTTTTTTTGCGTAACTTAAATTGACTTTTTAATGGGACTCTAAATATCAACTCAAGTCGCTTGTACTGCAGCGCTATTTTTTATTTCTCTGCGGAAGAAAGCACGGTAAAATTAATTGTAAATCATCAAACATTTTAATTAATTGATTACTTATTCATGATTACATTTTTTTCATTATCCACGATTTTGAAAGATCATAACAAATTTTTATCGATTACGAAACACCATTAAAAATTCTCGATTGTTTGGAAAATCAATATAAATTCTTGATGACGAGAAAAACATTGCTACTGATTTTCAAATATTCCTCAACAATAATTAAAATCTATTACTGATTTCCATTTTGCATTTAAAAAATCCAATTACTGATCTGAAGAGTTTTAACAAATTATAAACAAATCTTGATTTTGTGAAGGCACCGGCGGGGTCACAGGGCGCGGCTATACCGTCACTGAGAAAAATTTGTCCGCGTTTGCCGCGCAGAGAATTGTTCCTGTCGTTCGGTCTGCAGACCATCGTTATCACTCTCCAGGTCTTCAGACCATTTTTTTCACACCCGCTGGGTCTACAGACCATTTCCTATCACTGCCTGGTCTACAGACCATTTCCTACCACTGCCCGATTTTCAGACCATTTCGTCACACCACTCGGTCCACAGACAGTTTCCTTCCACTGCCTGGTCTACAGACCATTCATTCACACCGCCCGGTCTACAGACCGTTTCCTACCACTGCCTGGTTTGCAGCCCATTTCTTCACACCCGCCCAGTCTGCAGCCCATTTCTTCACCCCCGCCCGGTCTATAGACCATTTCTTCACACCCTGTCTCTTATACACATCTAGATGTGTATAAGAGACAGTTTCTTCACACCCGCCCGGTCTACAGCCCATTTCTTCACACCCGCCCGGTCTACAGACCATTTCTTCACACCCGCCCGGTCTACAGACCGCTTCTTCACACCCGCCCGGTCTGCAGATGAAATTTCGGCAGTCAAAGCTTGATTTCAAAAGTTCTTCAAACTACCTACAGTCTTCCCTTCTAATGAGTTCACAGTTATTGTCTCCCTAACTCATATTAATTATAAGTAAGAGCCACGCTCGGGAAGTTAGTAAGACTCCATGCACACAAAACCCCATCAGTCGGCGCTTACGGGAGCTTTACTAACACACAACCGCACCTCTCCGCCGCCGCAGCGCAACTGAAGCTGCCAAGTGCCAGCCTCCAGCGTCCAGCAGGGTGAGAGAATTCCGATACTGAGGATCCTGTTCAATATAGTAAATCTTAATTCATCGTCTTGAATTTCCATTCAATATCGCAAATTTCCCTTCATCGTGGTAAATACTTATTATAAATCGTAAATTTTAATTCAGCGTCGGAAATACCCATTCAATGTCCTAAATCTCCATTCAACGTCGTAAGAACCAATTCAATGTCATAATTTTCCATTTAAATTCGTATATTTCATGCCAATGCCGTGTAACACTATATAGTGTAATAAATTCTGTTCTATTGTCCTAAATCTTTTTCCGATTTCGAAGTTCCTCTCGCACAAACTTGTCATGTAATTTCCTTGTTCATCTTTTAGTTATTGGTCAATTTCATTTGATGTCGTAGTCTCGTGTACAGTTTGACGTAAATAATAGCCCGCTGGCGAAGTTCCTCTTCCAATTGCCGTAAATATTATTGTTGTTCTTAGGGTTTTGTCACTGACAGACCTGCCCCCTATCATCTATGTGTCTGGTAAGCCCTCCTATGACACTTATAACTTGCCATTTATTTCCACATTACAATTACAAATGTTGCACTTATAGGCACTACATAGGCTCAACATAAGCGTATGTTTACATGCATTCTCTCCCTTCCCCTTTCACATGCACCTTTCATTCCGACGCAGCTGTTTGTTTCTTTTCAATGTTTACCCTCAGCAACACACATTTCAGTAATAAAATACTATTATGATGTTATTTTGCTGAAAATATCGCATTACAAAATGTCGCAAACCCCCACCCATACCTCCACCCATACCTCCACCCATACCTCCACCCATACCTCCACCCATACCTCCACCCATACCTCCGTCCATACCTCCACCCAAACCTCCACCCATACCTCCACCCATACCTCCACCCATACCTCCACCCATACCTCCACCCATACCTCCACCCATACCCTCACCCATACCTCCACCCACACCTCGCCGCCCTCGACGGTTCGCTGCTTCAGTGAAATATTCTTTTGTCCAAAGTTTCGTTAAACTATTCTACTCAATATTTACACACTCACACTGTCAGACATTCACAAGGTAGCTGAAGCACTGCTCGGTCGTGAGGAAAATGAGCTGGTCATGGTATATTCCATATTGGAATATATATCGCGGGACACCCGCTTGCTGGTGGTAATATACCTGGTATCCTCGTTGGGGTTTGTTTCAATAGTGCAATGTGAAATGGATTCAGTAACTTCTTGTAAATCATAAAGGTACTCGAACGATATTAAATGGTCTTTGTCATCAAGGTTATTCAATTCAATGCGAATTATGTGCTAAATGTGCGCTCAGCACGAAAATTATCCGGCGTTCCGCTAGCTTTGACAGCCTGACACCAGCGTTGCCAGAATGCCAGATGGTATATTTCTATACCAGATTTCACAAATCTGGTATTTTCAAAAGGTGTCTGGTATGAATATTTTAGATCTGGTATATTTACCTCAATCTGTCCTCCCTAAAGCGCATGTTAGGTTCCAACACAAAACAGGCTGCCCCCTACCTTAAACAAGACAATATACAACACGACACACCAGAACAAAAAGAACCCATATTCCGTAAACACTGGCAGGACATATTCCTGTCTCTTATACACATCTAGATGTGTATAAGAGACAGATTTAGCAAGATTTAGCAAGATTAAAAAAGGTTAAGCAAGATTAAGAAAGATTTAGCAAGATTAAAAAATATTTAGCAAGATTTAGCAAGATTAAGCAAGATTTAGCAAGATTAAGCANTGTGATATGCAAGCATGTACAAAAATAAGCAAAAGGAAGATGACCTGTTTCCATGGCTTGCTCATGTTGAGCGAAAGGGAAGAAGTGCCGCACTGTGATAAAAAAAGGAAAAAGTGCCAATGATATCAAACACGGGAAAATAAAAGTGTCAAAATGTTCCAAACAGAGGGAAAAAGTATAACGTGTTCAATTTGGCTAATTATCGTCAAGCTAAATAAATGCATATTCCATAAGATAATTTTTTTTCTTTTTATAACCAACGTTTCTGACGAATAGTTTCATCAAATTTGTAGGTATTAGTGTTTTGGAACAATATAATTTCTGGTATATATATGGTATTTTGAGCTAGGCAGTCTGGTATTTTCGCCAAGAAAAAGCCTGGCAACACTGTCAGCAGCCTGACAGGCTGACAGCCTGACACCAGCCACCAGCGCTTTATTCGAGTCACTGACTTCACGGTGGGAGGGTGTTCGCGTGTGCTGTGAGACATCTTAAGTCTTTCATTATCTTCTGTCTAACGTACAAGAATGTCAAAAATCAAAGCAATAATATGGCTGTTCTTCTCTACGATGTTATCTGGTAAGTTAATGTTACTAGACTGTTGTGCTGCATAACTTTTCGTCCGAAATTCGTCGGGAACTTCAACTCTGTTTGTGAGTAGCAAACGATCTACCGTTAGTCCGGCACTGAATATACATCGCCAAGTTGAGACCGTGATGCAGGTTTACTGGTTTTGATTTAAGCCTAACATTAGGCCGGCTACTAACTTGGTGCGTTATTATTGGCTGCTGCAACTGCGAAATAATCTTTCGTTATTCGCATTGGCGTACAGGCATACATGTTGCGCTCAATGTCTCAATGCACGAGGCTTACGGATCTTTACCTCATGCGGGTCTCTTACTCGACCGCACGGGCATGGCGAATGTTTCTTTTTATTCTGCATTCCATTGCTGATGTTCTGCACAGCGTGGCTATTGCGATATTTCCTGTGATATTGTATTATTAACATCCAGGCTTGACATTATTTTATAGACCGCATGTCAATATCAGTGTGACTGTGTGTACACTGTACAAGAGCCTTCTTCAAACTTCAAAGAGTTCAAAGCAGCTAAACTAAGGGGTAAGGACATCGTAATGGTGAATACCTAATACATATGGAGTCGAAGTTTGATCATGACGTTGGGCAGTGACAGGTCATACATAGTGAAATTAATAAGATGGCGTTAAGTGTAATGGAGGCCTGATATTGTTCTGCTAGAGATAGAGTCCACAGCAATGGATGGTGGACCAACTGCCTCCTCTATGTCTGTCACTGTCAGCCTGACCCTGTCAGGTCTTTGACTATTAGGTGATGGGTAAGGTTACTAAGGTAATAAAGGTATGAGAGTTATTAGGCACAATATAATAATTGTGCTCAGCCTTAGTCAGGGCCTAAGTGTGGAAAATATCTACTTTCCAAACCACACCTAGCGCATTTCTGCAAATTCTTTAGCTTAAAGTTTTCTGCTATATTAATTATCTCCAGTGTATTCTTGTGTACTTTTGTCATAGTTTATACCTATGGGTGTTTGGAGCCTGGCCCTAAAAATTTATATATAGCCATAGGGCAGTGTGGAATTCTGTATAGGTAATATATTCTCATGTCAATATAAGAAAACGTATCGAAATACCAACCCTACCACCGCGTTACACCACCTTCCACTGCAATGAAAATTGACGAACTGAGCTCATTTGAAAATCGCGCGTGGTTTGAAATCCAATCCCGTGTTGCCAACGACTAATCAAGTTAACTAGTCGTTTATCTGTAGGCTATCGGACACATTTTTGCAATGAATACGTTCTAAAATAAAAAAAA